TAAGGTACTTTATACAGGTGAAGATAACACAAGATAAAATAAATCAAAACATGGTAAAAAGAAAATAAAAACAAGAAAAAGAGCATAAAACAGGCCACAAATTGTACTCAAAGATTCCTAGCAGCCACATGTGGAAAGAAAACCTCATCAGTTAACATACACATTTCACAATGTCCATGAGATAAAAGTTATTTCAGCACTAAAACCACCTAACAGCCTCTCGGTGGACTCACAAAAAGCACTGTGTGAATATGACGAATAAAGCCTCTGGCCAAATCCTCACATGGACAGTGTGACAATTTTCCTAGGGCTCTTTTTCATGTTTCTCTCTATCCATGCATGACAGAAAAGGGCAATAAATTCAATTCTGCAGTAGGGCCAAAGTAATGTGGTGATGTGTCCTCATTCAGCATTGCACAAATATTACTGTTACCCCTTCCCTCTGCCTGTTTCCGTGGCAGTGTTGAGCACCGTGCTGGGGGTGCATGTATACTTATCATGGACAACCTTGTGCTGTGAGCTATCTGCTCCCATGTGCGTGCCACATATTCGGAGCTAGAGGGCAAGCTCTTTGAAGGCAGCAATCATGTCTAACTCTGATCTTTCCACAGTTTTCACAAGTTATTACTCAATAAATCTTTGTTAACTGACAGACATAAAAGTTATTCCCAAATTGTGGCACATGTAACATAGAAGTACATGAGAGGATTTAACATGATACATAGATAGAGCATTAAATAATATTAAGTCAGTTTTTTTATTTTATTTTATTATGTTATGTTAACCACCATACATTACATCATTAGTTTTTGATGTAGTGTTCCATGATTTGTTGTTTGCATATAACATCCAGTGCTCCATGCAATATGTGCCCTCCTTAATACCCATCACCAGGCTAATCTATCCCCCCACCCCCTCCCCTCTAAAACCCTCAGTTTGTTTTTCAGAGTCCATAGTCTCTCATGGTTCGTCTCCCCCTCTAATTTCCCCCCTTCATTTTTCCCTTCCTACTATCTTCTTTTTTTTTTTAACATATAATGTATTATTTGTTTCAGGGATACAGGTCTGTGATTCATCAGTCTTACACAATTCACAGCGCTCACCATAGTAGATACCCTCCCCAATGTCTATCACCCAGCCAAACCATCCCTCCCACCCCCCACCACTCCGGAAACCCTCTATGAAAAGTCAGTTTTAAAAAATAAAAACTCCCCCCTTCCCAAATCTCCTTAACGCTTTTAGTATCCTATTTGTAAAGGTGATTGGTCATCAACTTATAGATACTCATTTTCAGTTTATCAACACTATCACTAAAAGAGTATCAAACACAGTTGTTCTCCTCTGTACATTAGCTGTTATACTTTAAACCAAACTAGATGATATATAAGGTGATATAGAATAATGATATATAAAAGATCACTAGTTTCTACTACATCTTCATTCATAAACACAATTGCTTCATACACAGTGCTCTCATTTTACTTTCCAAAAATAAGATAATGAGTCAAAAGCTATAAGTGCCGGTAAACAATTACCTGAACTCAGTGGAAAGAGACTCACAGCAGTTCTTTCTAGGACCACCTGGTGCTAACAACCTCTCAGGGAGTCAAGAAGCATCATACTGAAGACAATTCAGCTCTTCTTTTTGCCCAAGAGCAAGCAACATATGGATTGAATGCAATCCCTCACCACAGCCAGATGAAAGATAGCTCACTGATCCTGTTCCATCTCCATGAGAAACCATCTCCATGAGAAATCATCTCCACGAGAAACCATCTCCACGAGAAACCATCTCCAGGAGAGAGTAACAGAGGACCAAGGTTAGATGGCTCCCTTTCATTCTTCTCTTGTTGCCTCAACCCAATCCACTTCCTGTCATGATTGAGCGATTTCAGTTTCATCTGATGCATGCTATACTATATCAGAAATAAATTGCTCAATTGGATAGGTCAACTTGCTGTTGTTATTGCTACCCTAGGAGCACAAAGAAAGTCTAATGTGATGCACAGCTCAGAAGTTTAACCATAGTTGTCTAAAAACTTTAAAAAAACCTAATTCTTTTGAGGGTTGCTGGAGTGGTGGGGGGGTGGGCGGGATGGGGTGGCTGGGTGATAGACATTGGGGAGGGTATGCGCTATGGTGAGCGCTGTGAATTGTATAAGACTGTTGAATCACAGACCTGTACCCCTGAAACAAATAATACGTTATATGTTAAAAAAAAAAAAAGAAGAAGAAGAAGATAGCAGGAGGGGAAGAATGAAGGGGGGAAATCAGAGGGGGAGACGAACCATGAGAGACTATGGATTCTGAAAAACAAGCTGAGGGTTCTAGAGGGGAGGAGGGGGGGGGGATGGGTTAGCCTGGTGATGGGTATTAAAAAGGGCATGTTCTGCATGGAGCACTGGATGTTATATGCAAACAATGAATCATGGAACACTATATCAAAAACTAATGATGTAATGTATGGTGATTAACGTAACATAAAAAAAAAAAAAAAGCCTAAGTCTTTACATCTATCCCCAGACATGGGTCAAGATTTAAGAAGTACAGCCTTGCAGAAATCATATGGGGTCAGAGCACAGTGTAGTGGTTATGTTGCTTTCCAGTTACTCCATTAATGACTACTGAGAATAGAGGAAGGCATGTAGCCCAAAATTATATTCTTGCCAAGTAGTCCTAGTCACTGTACTCACAGCTGGTTAAAGACAACCTGTCTAGGGGGCACCTGGCTGGCTCAATCAGAGCCTATGACTCTGGATTTCATGGTTGTTGAGTTCAAACCCCATGTTGGGAAAGAAGCCTAGTTTACAACAACAGCAACAACAAAAATATAACCTGTCTGGAACCTCCCTAAACGGAGTAAACCATTAAAAAAAATTATATAATACTATGCAATTAGAAAGTGACTAGGAATTCTATGTTGAAAATGTCAGAAAATCATTAGAAAGTTATAAAATTATGTATCTTCATCATATATCTATTCTCTAGGCTTGGAGTCAGATATGGAGAGAGGCATGAAGGGCAGGAACGTGTATTATGGCATTTAGTTTGAGTCGGTGCAAAGCACATGAAAAGTTACATAATAAAATTCCATTTGAAAACTTCCATGAGATAAAATCATTTCAGCTAGGTTTTACACTCCCTTGATCACAGCTCAGAGTCTATGAAGTCATTTCCATTCAGCCACTCACTCAGGCATTCAATCTACAAATTTTTCAGTGAAATGCTACAGCTAAAAGCATTAAGCCTTTCAATCAGACCATCTGAATTTGTATCCTAGCCAGACAATTACTACCTATGTGTCCTTAGGCTATTTAACCTCTCTCTCTCTCTCTCTCTCTCTTCATCTGTAAATTGAGGATAATCATAGTACACTTATTATCAAGATGTTATGAAAATAAAAAGAGAAATATAAATTCTTAGCAAGTACTGTCCACAGAGTTAAATGCTCAACATATATTGGTCATTGTTATTCCACAAATATATATTGAGCAGCTTTCAGATATAAGGCACTATGAGCTAGCTATAAGATAATCCAGAGGTGAAAAAAGGACAAAATTTTTCATCAGAAAGTTTGGAATCTAATTTTTTAAAAAAAGATATGGAAAAAACAAAAAATTACAACAGGCTGACCATAGTTGGTGTTGTTTTTTAAAATACAAGTAAGTTATATATCAGCAGAAAAGAAGATTACTTCCAGAAAAAGATCATAGAAGGACTTCTGAATAAATTCCCTCATTAGCAGAGACATGAAAGATGAATAAGATCTGTAAATCTGTAGTTTAGCATCTGGGGCGAAGCATTCTAAGTATAATACATATCGTGAGGTCTTCCAGGTGAGAAAAGTGAATCTAGACTAGAGAGGACCTTGAATGCCAAGCTAAGAAGTATGAAATGTACTTGTTTCCAATAAAAACACATTGAAGGTTTTTGAACAGAAGAGGGAGAGGATGAGAATTGTATTTTAGGAAGATGAATGGAACAGTAGAATCTTGAACATAGCATAATGAAAAGACCAGCCATTGGCTAATATCTTTGTACCTTTGAGAGGCAAGTTGAACCTAAATAACCCAGTCAGGGAACAGGATGTAAAAGGAGGAGAGAAAAGCAAAAGAAATTTATAAATCTTCACACATTCACAACTCAGTGTCCCAACAAGATGTCTTAAAGCTTCCAACTTATCAATCAAGCATGAAAAAAAGTTATGTCAAGATTTTCAGGTTAGTAACAGGTGTCTCTTCCTTATTTAGACCATTCGATAGTGATCAAATTCTGACATGAACAAGGGGTGCCCATACAGTTGTAGCTGCACTGTTAGTCACCGAAAAGCTAAAGACAGAAAAAGGTGTTAAGAACAAGCGAGGTAGGTAAAGACAAATGTCTAGGAAAAACATAATAATTAGCAAACCAAAGAACCCAAATTAGAATTCTCCATTACTTTCTCTCTAGAGGAAGTTACTAAATTTTGAATGTCACAGATAACATTGAGAGCCTAATGCAACTAGAAAAAAGTATACACTCAAAATTGTTAGGGAGAGTTGCAGTCTCCCATGAATGTTCAGCATCCATGCTTAGCATGAACGATTGCCATCTTTATGTCCATTGACCCAAAGTTAAGATTATCTACTGCAAAAAAAAAAAAAAGCTGAATTCTATGAAGATTAATTGAACCACTTTCCAGTTGTGATATACATTAATTAAATTCCTCTAATAGGCAAATATGGCTTTATTTAGTGCAGCACATAAGTGAAAATGATCAAAATAAACATCATGTTTTACAGAACACATAGGTTTCTCTAAATCATTGTGTCTCTCTTTATAGAGCACTGAAGAGAAAGAGTATCCAAATTAATGGACACATAATGACTGGAATATAGATAACTTTAAAGAAAAATATAAAAACCTCTATCCTTCTTCTATATCAAGCTTACCAAGTCTAACTTCATATGATTGATTTATGTGCAAGTAGTCTTTAAGAAATTTGAGACAGGCCCCCGCACCGGTCTCCGGCAGCCAGAGGTAGGTGGTAGGTGGGCCGGGTCTTGCCGCCTGCGGTCCCCGGCCTCGCCCGCTCGCGTTCCGCTGCGGACCCACGATGCAGTACCAGACGTGGGAGGAGTTCAGTCGCGCGGCCGAGAAACTCTACCTCGCCGACCCTATGAAGGCCCGTGTGGTTCTCAAATATAGGCATTCTGACGGGAGTTTGTGTATTAAAGTAACAGATGATTTAGTTTGTTTGGTGTATAGAACAGACCAAGCCCAAGACGTAAAGAAGATTGAGAAATTCCACAGTCAACTAATGCGACTTATGGTAGCCAAGGAATCCCGCAGTGTTGCCATGGAAACGGACTAAATGGTTTGAATTGAAGATCTGTCCTGTTCTTAGGAAGCAAATCTCTTTTGAATCTGAAAAAGTGTTGGGAAAGAAAATAGTTTATGTAACTAAGTCGGCTCTTCAGAAGTGGGGAGATCATTTTTTGTACTTTGTGTTTTAATGTTTACTTTAAAGAGCTAGGAATGTAAATGCTTTCAGGTAGAAAACCTTTATTTATTTTTGAAAATTGAACAAATGCATCTATGTTGGGAAACCTTTTGCAGGTTGATATGGGGCAAAATATGTAATTATTCTATGGTAAGTTTGTATCAGTAATTTGAAAAAGGCAATTCTTCCTTAAATTTAGTTAATCTGTCTTTAAAAGAAAATTAGATGTAACCATTTTGCCAGATTGATATATTTCTTTTGGAGCATAAAATTTGTGCTGTTGCTGACCAACAAACATAAAATATGGTAACTGGAATTGCCTGTGCACAGCAGTGTGCCTGACTATGTATAATATAGTAGTGTAGTCTCAGTTATTTCTAATAACCATGGAAACAAGTATGCTTTACTTTACCTAAAACTTTCCAAATTTAAACTATTTTTGAATGTAAGGGATTTGTAGTATCATTAGCTTGTTGAGCAGAGACTTGCTTTGAATCTCGTTTTCAGTGCTCAGAAACCAGCTGCGGTTACTTTAAGTGCATGAACAGAATGATCACTAGTGGCCTGAGGCCACCATATTACACAGGTATTTGCCACAGATTTCCCCTCTGTCTTTTCTCAGGAGGGCTAAAGATTATTCAGACTGTTAAATCTTCACATATGTCTGTGCCACCCCTGCCCGTTTCTCTCTGTATTTAACCAAGGTGTTAAGCGTGACTGTCACAACTGTTACGTTTTCCTTTAGGCCAGAGGGATATCATTTGATATTTATCATATTATTGTAACCTGAATTTTACCACCTAAATGTAATGTTCACATGTTGCTACCTACATTAAAATATTTTTTGGTTAGGAAAAAAAGAAAAAAGAAAAATTTGAGACATAGGTCAGACTTTATTTCAGAAATAAATTTTCTTTCATAATTTTGTCTGCCTGTTTCCAATACTGTTATACTGATTGTAGCCACCTTAAATAATAAATATGCAAATTATTTAAGCAAAAAATTGAGCCAGTTAACAATAATTTAGACATTTTAAGCAAATATAATTCCTCAAGTCTAAAAATTTATGCTTAAGCACATGGGCTTTGAATTTAAACTGTATGAGTTTGAATCCTAGTGCCATCCCTTCACAGCCATGGACTCTGGGCAAGTTCCTTAACCTCTCTATGCTTCATTTCTTCATTTTAAAATGGAGGACAATAATAGTACCTTCCTCATAAGGTTGTTAAGAATTAAGGGATGTAGGAAAGCCAGGTAGGAAACACTATGTAAGTGTTTGTTGTCATTGTTGCTATGATTGTGGTTGTTGTGTACTAGGAAAAGCCAAGTCTGGTACAAAACAATACTCGATATCCAAATAACATGGCTTTGTTGTTCTTATGATCTACAGCGTGGAACAATGTTAAGAAGCTCAAGGTCAATGGCTGTGTCCAGTTACTTCCTGTGGTTTTACTTCTTGGATAAGAACAAAGAAAAATGAAAACAATATCACTTCAGATGACACTTGAGGATTTTTGGAAATTTTCCCACACAGTTTCAGACCTGGCTGTGGGAGACCTTGATTTTCTGTTGGGGAAGACCTTCTGTCTTCCAGAAAATGTATGTTAAAAAAAATTTTAGAGAAGTTATAGTCTCTGAAGTTTCAAAGACAAGGCAATAAATTTATCTGGAAGTTATAAATGTTACAGAAATAAACTTAAAGCCCTCAGACCATACAGGTAGTATATAATTCATTCAATACATAATAACCATTCTGTCCAAAATGAAACCTACACTTACTTAGTGAGACGCTTAGGGTTTCTTATGGTAGTTGAAAAAAACAAAGGAACATTGGATCATGATAAAGAAATGTTCCCCAAATTTTCCTCCAATCTCTCTGCCAAGAATTATGAACCTAGTAAAGAAACAAAAATCTATCAGTTGAAAAGTTGATTTGCAAATGGTAAATGGAAAAAACACAGAAGCATAAAATAGTCATGCAGTTTCATATAGTTGATCGAGCCTAAATAAAGTGAATGGTGATTCAGGCAATACAGACCACTGATACTTAACTTTTCTTCAATCTCCACAACTAATGTATCATTAATTCATATAAATTCCAATTCTGGAAACTGATTTTGAAGCCATTTTTTCCTCTCCATTCCTACTGGCATTCAATCTACCACCACCTGGATTTCTACAGTAGCCTCCTGATTGTTTTCTTTTGTTCCACTCTTTCTCTATACACTTCATATTGTAGCCATAGAGGATTCTTACCGTAAGTCAAATCAGGCCATGTCACTAATTAAAGCCAGCAATGTCTTTTTAAGCACTTAGAGCAAACTGTAAACCACTTAACTGGAAGTGTATCACCCTGCATGATTTGGCCCCTGCCCACTTCTCCAAGTACACTTCAGCCTACTCTGTTCTCTTGTTCACTCTGCTCTGGACATACTGGCCTTGTTTCCATTCCTTGAATACACCTGTCCCATCTCACGGCCTTCCCATATACTACTCTCCTTCCACTTAAACCCTCACCCATCTCTCTTCCTGACCATTCCTACTCATCCTGCAAAGCTCAGATGATGGTCACTCCCTCAGAAACACCTTTCCTGAGCACCCACACCACACTGTCCTTACCTCTCATTCTGCCATTATCATGGTTATACAGACTAATCTTCTTCTTCATAGTTTTCATCACAATGTCTACTTACATTTTCATTGGTGTGCTTCCTGGTTTAATTACTCTCTCCCTAAATCAAAAGGTCATTACTGGTATACCAAGGAAAAAGCAGAGTGTGTCTAACAAATAGCAGGCACCCAGTTCATATTTGTTGAATGGATCGATTACTTTTCACCAAATAATACAAATGAAGACTTAGAGAAGGAGGATCAAAATTTGAGACAAAATAAATTAAGACACTTGGGACTCTCAACTGGAAATATTTACTAACAGAGCCAATAAATAAATAAATAAATAAATAAATAAATAAGCCAGTATATTTCTTTACCCTTTCTGACTTTGATCTGGTCAGGTAAGAGACCATTTTACCAAATGTTAACCTTTCATTTTTTTATCACGTAGCAATTTCTCTGAACTTTCTAAAATAAACATTAATTTCCAAAGCCTTCCTGTAGGCAAGTTTCACACATGTATAAATCATAAAAAATGAGTTACACAAGTTTTTTTTTTCTTTTTAAAAAATTTTTGGGGCACCTGGGTGCCTCAGTCATTAAGCATCTGCCTTCGGCTCAGGTCATGATCCCAGGGTGCTGGGATCGAGCTCCGCATCGGGTTCCCTGCTCCGCAGGAAGCCTGCTTCTCCCTCTCCCATGCCCCCTGCTTGTGTTCCCTTCCTCGCTGTGTCTCTCTCTCTGTTAAATAAATAAATAAAATCTTAAAAAAAATAAAAAAAAATAAAAAATTTTTATTATTGAAGTATAGTTGACATACAATATTAGTTTCATGTGTACCTGATTTGATAATTCTATACATTATGCAATGTTCACCACAATAAGTAGTTTTCATCTGTCACTGTATGACATTATTAAAATATTACTGACTATATTCTCTATGCTGTACTTTTCATCCCCATGACCTAATTTTATAAGTGGAAGTATGTATCTCTTAATCCCATTAATTATTTCACCCATCCCCCACCCCCACTCCCCTCTGGCAAACACCAATTTGTTCTCTGTATTTATGAGTCTGTTTCTGTTTTGTTTTGTTTGTTTTGCTTGTTTTTTAGATTCTACATATAAGTAAAATCATAAGGTATTTATCTTTCTCTGTCTGACTTATTTCACTTAGCATAATACCTTCTAGGTCCATCCATGTTGTCGTAAACGGCAAGATCTCATTCTTTTTTATGGCTGAGTAACATTTTATTTTATATATATGTGTATATATATGTGTGTGTATATACACCACACCTTATCCATTCATCTATTGATGGACATTTAGATTGTTTGCATATCCTGGCTACTGTCTCTTAGATATCAGTCATAGCAACATTTGTCTGGATATGTCTCCTAAGGCAAGCAAAACAAAAGCAAAAATAAACTATTGGGACTATCCCAAAATAAAAAGCTTTAGCAAAGGAAATCATCAACAAAACAAAAAGGCAACCTACTAAATGGAAGAAGATATTTTCACATGATATATCCAGTAAGGGGTTAATACCCAAAATATATGAAGAACTTAAATAGCTCAATACCAAAAATGAAAAAACTCCCCAATTAAAAAAATGAAACTTGCAGAGTTGCCCATGTTTTAACATAATTGTGCTTATGCATTTTAAAATGAGACCAAAATTCAAGGTTCCAGATTGTGAAAATCAAGGGTTTTGTTTTGTTTTGTTTCCATTTAGAATGGGAATGTTCAAGGTGAGCAAGATGTAACACAGCCCGGTGAATAAAAAAGAAATAGAGGACTTGGGAGTCAAAAAAAGCAGAACAACAGCATGTTAGCCTGCTCCTAATTTCACACAAGGAAAAGGCAGACTCACTATAGGTTTGTCATCTTGTCCTCTTTAAAGTTGAAATTGTTTGAACAAAGAAATTCTTGCATTCTATTTCAACTCCTTCAATTCATTTTGGTAATAATAAATCTGTCCCACCAGATCTACACCACTCTCTATTTTGCTGTCTGACCAAGGAATCTAACTTTGGACATTGGCTCAACTGATCTCACTCACTATTTGACTTCTATTGGGTTTGGCCACTGGAAAGCCCAGGCAAGAAATGGGAAGGACAGAAAACAGGTCTCCCTCCCCAGGTGGTCAACCTTGGCTGTCTATGTTCCCCCATAAAGGTCACTGCTCTTCCCAAAGAGGCCATATTTACAAACCCTCTCTCTTTTTGAGTTCCATACTGCTTCCTCCTCTTTGAACTCCTACAGATAGTAACAGCGAGGGGCTGGTACTATTGGCTGGATTACCACATTTCCCTTCTGGTTTTCCTCACACAAACCTTTGTAAACAGCCTCTATAAAAATACTTCTCTAAATAGTATGTAGTTTGAATATTCAATCTGTTTTCTGTTGGTACACTGGATGACATAACAAGATAGTTAATGTTAGCAGATAGTTACCAGATAATTCCTAGATAGTTCCAATCACAGAGACCCACATTTTTCAAATTAGAAATTACTGGGCATATGAACACTACGACATCAACCCAGAGACATAACACTGAACCTATCTCATCAAATATAACATATCTAATTGTTTTCACCCATTTTTGGCAATGAAGAGTAAGCAGCAGAATTTCAAAGCATGCAGGCACCATAATAATTACCTAAAAATATGAACAATTAGTGTAGCTAACTTTACTGAGCATTTATTTTGTCAGGCAGGTTAATAAGAAACTAAAAACTGCAAGTTTATGACCCACTATATGTACTTACTAATAATTAGCATAGAATAGACCTACCTTCGGGGGCGGAGCAAGATGGCGGAGGAGTAGGAGACCTAAATTTCCTCTGATCCCAGGAATTCAACTAGATAGGGATCAAACCATTCTGAACACCCACAAACTCAACAGGAGATCAAAG